AGTTCGACTTCGGCAGTCGTTCAAAATAAAATTTCCTCGAATACAAGTGCGGGTCAAAGAAAATTGGAAATCGATGCAAAAGTGCTTGGGCTGTAAATCGGGAAGCATATAATGAATGGGTCCTGCATAAGAGTACCTCCGAACTGTGCAGGAAAATAAATATTTTATTCAGAGCATCAGGACCTTTCAGTGAGGTGTACTCTCTCAACAGTGACTCATGTTCCTCGTCGGCTTTGACGTCAGAGTCAATGTCGATCAAGTGTTCACGCTTTTCCGTCGACTTCTCAGACCGTCCCGTCCGCATAACTAATCCACGAAGACACTCGGAAAGCCTTCCTTCTCGGTCCGAGCCAAGCTTTGATTGCGAAATCATTTCACTAAGATCACTTCCCGAGTACGACGCAGATTTCCGCGAATAGCAAGACTTATTCATATTTCTGTAGGACTTTCAGCCACTCGGGTGGACAAGTCGTCCACCCTCAGCCGCTCATGAGAATTGGATTTTTCTTGGAAAACAAGAAATGAAATACATGAACTTGACTGGGAATTCAACGAAGGAAATGAACACATTTTAGAATAATCACGGAGAAGGGAGATCTCAGTTCAGATTTGCACATCACACGACCATGTCCAAGTACCGCACGAAGAAGTCAACTTCCCCACATAACTGTGTTTTGTTTCTTTGATACACAGCATCACTCGAAAGAATTACTCGCCCTTTCCGGCGGTTAACAAAACAGCAGTGACGTGTATAATCCACACATTGTAAATATAACCAAGCGAATGTATAAGACGATGTACAGTACCAAATTAATCAAGCATTCGTACTACCGCGGAATCTAATACATATATATTTATACACTGCGTTGTTTCGATTCGCCTTAATAAGTACGGTACCTATTCTTCTCTGAATTATATTTTCGTCATCATTCGCTGTAAGCACATGCAAAGCACATGGAAAGTTATTCTTCGAGGTATTTCATGTTGCAAAGCTTTCATTTCAAATACAGCATATTTTATAAACATTTTGCGATGCACGCGTCCAAAACCAATCACCATTATTATCAACAAAACTTCCGAAAATCTGAATCTGATGGAGTGTTGGTCATGGTTTCCGATATGAAGTTCTGCTGATTCGTCTCGATATATTTTGTCTGTCCGCATAGGCGCATAGTCAACTTCAGTTTCAAACTCGATTTTCTCCAATCGAAAACATGAAATTCACTCAATATTGCTTGTATTTATAATGTAATCTCGAAGACATTTTCAACGGTCCTCCTAATTTAAAAGGCCCTCGCGAAAAAAGAGACGCGAATTCTATCGATTTTCTCCAATCGAAAACATGAAATTCACTCAATATTGCTTGTATTTATAATGTAATCTCGAAGACATTTTCAACGGTCCTCCTAATTTAAAAGGCCCTCGCGAAAAAAGAGACGCGAATTCTCACTTTCCATTTAAACTGCACTTAACACGCGAAAAATGATTGAAATTGGAAGCGCTCCACTCTTATCCTCATCAGCTGAACTTTTAGAAATCGCATCTTTCACAAAGATGGATTTGTCATGCAGAATAGCTGATGGCCACAGAAACAGAAAAACGTCTGCAAACAAAAACACCGATAAGGGCGGGAAAACCGCGGTAGCTGACGAGAACGCGACCGGCGGAGGATGAAACACTGAATCGGCACAGTGAGGGAGGGCACATCTAAAATCACGCCACGGCGCATGACGACGACGCGCCTTGCCAGTCTTTCCTCAAATGGACATGCACCAATAAATGCTGAAAAAGGTTTACAGAACAATCACCTTGCCTGCAATATGTTGTTTTCCTCTGTTTATTCACGGTGATTGAATTGTTTGAAAAAATTACCAGACTTTGGGTGTGGTTAGGTCAAGTTAAGTTAGGTCTAGGTCAGGTTATGTTAGTTAAAGATATCTTTCAATTAATATCACCTGACCTAGCTGCTCCCAAGGGGTAATAATTTTTCTTGAAGCAGTAACATATACCTAGGTTTAAAACTGACCTAACCTAACCTAACTTAATTTGGCCTAACCTAATCTAACCTAAGCTTATTTAACCTAACCTAACTGCCCATGAAGTCCGATATTTTTCAATGGTTTGCTTACAGTGAATGAACAGAGGAAAATAAAAAATTACATAAGTTTACTGTAAATGTGTTTCAGAATTTGTATGGAGGAATGTCCATTCAACGAGGGACCAGCAAGGCGTAGCGGCATCGTGCGTCCCGGCATGATTTGGGCAATTCAAGCAAGGGATCCCTATCAGGCCCCTATAGGAAACTACCATACCCAGTTCCATCACCCACCATCAACACTTCATCGGAAATAGCATGACCGGATGATCAGTGGAGATTTGGACAGGATTCACAAAAGCCAGATTCATTCGGATTTGAGCTATTGACTTGACAACTTCACGTCATTGATCAACTAAGTGTGTTGTGGTAGTGACGCTGTGTTATCTGCAGAAACTCACTAGGAAATAAACCTCAGTATTGCATAACGCTACTCAAGGACTCTTCCCTTCCGTCAAGAACCTTATTACACAGACTTAATTGAATTCAACAGCGAGGCCAAAGTTTCGGATATCAATTTGAAGGAGTTCATCAAATCCAAGTTTCAATCGTTCATCCAAGAACAAACCGCTTTCGATAACTAGGGGAGGAGAATGAGCACAATTTTGATTGCGGTATACTTCAGTGCTGTACAGTTCAATTCAAACTTACGGTATGACATCAAGAATTGCCTCCGGTATTTTTTTAAGATGAAACCTACGATAAATCTTGACGTGGAAAGAAATACTGTGGAATTGTCAATAAGATGCCGATAAAAACGAACTTTGGTGTATAAACGGAGAAGAAAGTAGCTGGATTATTTCTAATATCTGCATGCAGATACATATTTGGTCGAGTTTGTGTTCTTATGGGCTGGCGCAACTTCGAACCTAAATCACAACAAGAAGGGTTCAAAACGCTGATTGTTCAAAAGATAAATTTAAAGGCGAACATTCAGATTTTGAATCTAAAGTTAGGCTTACTTTACGGTTGAAGTGCCCATGAAAATATATGTATGCCTCTAAGCGTGAAAGTCATAAATCTGAAAATGCTCAAATTTCAAGTTGGTTCATCGCATTTAGATTTTATTTTAAATCTCCTTCAGACCGTAATTTGTATGCGTATTCAATGTTTGTATCACAAACAGATCATATATATATATATGGTACGTCCTGACAAAGCGAGTAATGAACCAGGAGAGACTTATCTATGATCTGCTTCAATCAAGACACTTTTTTCCCATTACCAAAAGGAAATCACCACGAAAAATTGTGGTCAGAAAGATTTCTAGAG